AGGGAACGCACCAGAGGTCAGGCTGTGTCCTACAGCGGTCATTAGTGTGCGCTGGGTTCCCCCGCCCGACGTCACTGCTACAGCACTCCCTGTTAGCCAGGACAGCCAGCGGGGAGCTCAGCAGGGAGTTACGGCCTTGCCCCGGCCTAGGCAGCTTTCCCTGCCTTCTGGGGCCTGTGCTTACCAAGGCAGTGGCAGACAAGTCCTAGGGACCGTTTTCCTCAGCCTGTCTGCAGAGTCTGTGAGCTGCTTGGCTGCCAGCCCCAGGGTGGAGCACCATCAGCTGGAAGGTGGGCGTGCTCTGTTCTTTGAGTAAAATGTGCCTGGGGGGCTCATGCCCTCCTGGTGCCCCGGGAAGGGTGGGGCTGGGGGGGGTGCTGCACGGCAGCGAGGCACTCTCAGCAGGAGCTGTGACGCTCTGAGCATGTCCTCCGCTCCAAACCTCAGTTACTTCACTGCTGGCAGGGCCTTCCCTCCACCGCCAGCAGCACCGCGCTTCCGTGGCTGGGCCGCGGGGCCGCTGTTGGACTGAGCTGGAGTGATCCCAAGTTACTGCCCCCTGGCCAAGCCCACCTCGTGTATACATGGACCCTCCCTGGCAATGATGCTGCAGTGGAGTTTCAGCCTGGGGGGGCCAGAGCAGCAAAGCCTGACGAGCCCCTCTCCTGGAACCCAGCGGCTCCCCCACCCTGGGTTGTCTCCCAGGAGTTCCCAGCAGGATTCCAGGCTGCTTCAAATTCCAAAATCAGCCCCAGAGAGGGTTGCACTGATGTATCCTGAGCTGGCCTTCTGCTTTTGTGGGTGGCTTTGATTTGTTGTGATCCTCTCATGCTTGCTGGCAGGGTCCTGGCTGTCCCTGAGGGCTTTGCCTAGAATGCAGCTTCCAACCCAAACTTCCTGGAAACAGCAGCTGTGGAGGCAGGAGTGGGGACAAGGCTCAGAGGAGTTACTTGGAGCGGGGTAGGGGTGGGCCTCCTGCCCTCTCAGCCTCGGTTTCTAGACAAGTTTGCACAGGTCTGGTGACCGCTTTGGATACGGGCACAAAACCCTGAGTGTCGGAGAGGTGGCAAGTGAGATGTGAGAAAGGGAACCACTGGAACGAATGTCGTCATCATTCCGTTAACGCCACATGGGCCCGAGGTTAGAGACCTGCAGGGGGTGTGATGCACGAAACGAAACCAGCCAACGTCAGTGCGTTTCTGGCTGAAACCCTCCTTCCTGCACCCCAAGCAGTAACAATATTTGTTTCTTCTTGCTTATTTTCTGCTCACCTTATGAATGGTCCCGCAGGAAACCATCATCGGAGGCCTTCTACCTGAAACCACCTATTCCGTCACCGTCGCAGCCTACACCACCAAAGGAGATGGTGCACGCAGCAAACCCAAAGTCGTCACTACGACGGGGGCGGGTGAGTGTGGTGCTGCTGGGTGGGCTTATGGAATTCCTTGGGACCTGGCACAGCTGATGCTGCTGAGGACACACGTTTGGAAGGAGTGGGCAGGCTGGGGAATGTCATGGGGATTTGTACTTCTGCAGTGGGGGCAAAGGATGAGAGTGCGATCGGCATCCCTTACGCACAGGCTTTACATGTGGATCAGTTGTGCAGGGTTCACACAGAGCAGGGGTGCAGGTGGGAAATGGACAGTCACTGAGAGGGCAAAAGGGGAGAAAAAGCAGCAGCCCTTTAGAAGAGATCTGTGAAAAAACCTTTCAGCCTTACTGTACCCCTCAGCCCAGGGAGTAGGGAAGGGAAAGCCAGGTCCTAGACACCAGACCTCACCCCACCTCTGAACTGACGTCCCCCTCACGCAGCTTTCTGATGCACGGACATCTGGTTGGGGCGGTTGGAGGAATTAGCCACGGTGGCTGTAGAGCCTCCTGCATCGCGCTGAAGGGTTTTTGAGAGGCCGTTAGAAGTGGATCCAGCCCATTTTTGATGCTGCACCTCTACATGTAAATAGACAAGCCCAGCTCAAACTAACACCTGCTACTGCAGAAGTGCAGCAAAATGCCATATGCAGTCTCTGGATCCTGCTGAACCCAGCCAGAGTTTGTTTCCAAAGTTCTACTGTCTAAACAGACAAGTGTATCTAGTGCTAGTGCCCAGAAGAGCCCGTGCCCTGGTTCAGGGACACCACGAGAACACGTCAGGCACTTGGCTTTTCTCGAGGAACGTGATGGGAGCAGATTTGGGTTGTTCTTGGGAGAGAGGACCAGCTAGCTGGCATTGCCTAGTCATTGATTTTTGGATCACTAGCCCTGTCCTACACGTGGTAGTGCTGCTGATCGGCAGATTCGCCCCAGGCAGGGTGTTTATCACTCATTATAATGGGAATGCATTTTGCATGAACTGGAAATCTGAGTTCCTGGTGCATTAACCTAGGAACAGCTCTCTCTCTCCATGCTGCTCCAGATGGCACCAGGATAACTCCAGAGGTCATTTAAATTGTCAGCATCTCAGCTGCTCTATCCCCCCTGCCTGACCAGGACGTACATTCTGTGGAGTTAACACAGCTATCCTGCAAACAGGAGAAGCTTCCTAACCATCCCAGTGCTACACCCTAAACCGCAGCAGATTGTCCCACCTTGTGAAGCATAGATAACGATATGTTGAATCAGCTTTGAAAAATCATCTGTCCCTAACTCCTGGTGGCTGTTAGTGATTGTGCTGTGAGTTTGAGTAATGGAGAGAGCGACATTAGCAGTGTACACCTCTACCCCGATATAACGCTATCCTCGGGTGCCAAAAAATCTTACCGCATTATAGGTGAAACTGCGTTATATTGAACTTGCTTTGATCCACTGGAGTGCGCAGCCCCGCCCCTCCGGAGCGCTGCTTTACCGCGTTATATCCGAATTCGTGTTATATCGGGGTAGAAGTGTATATTGAATTATATGTGCTTAAATAGTAACAGAGTCCCCTCCTACAGATTTGTCCAGCTCCTAGGGACCTCAGAAGGGAACAGTGTTGTGGGCCTCTGAGGGCAGAATTGGGCCAGAACACCATCAAATACAGTGTCTGGTTTATTACCACCAGGACATTATCCCACTGATTAGGAATGTTTTCCGTATCAGTTGGATTGTATACCAATCTGATCGGCTTCGGAATGGTGACGCCCTTTGTGTACGTGGTGGGGAATCCAGGTATTAAATCCTCGATTCCAAACTAACGGTTCTTAACCTGTGAAGGCAGCAGCCCTTCACTTGTGCAGCATGAGCAGAATTTCAGTGGCTTGACTGTTGCTGCTCCCCAGTCACATCGACATTCCCGTCATGAATTGGTTCATCAGCTAAACCAAAATATATTCTGATTGCTAACAGCCCACCCCGCGCCACTTACTGCCTCTGCAGATGGTAAAATTACAAGGTTGGGGATGACATTTTTCTGCATTCAGATAGATCAGGATGCTGGGTATGGGGTTTTGTGCATCTGTTGCATCACAGTACATCAGGGTCCAGGTTTTCCTGGTGCTATGGCACTTGTCTGCAGAGAGCTACCGTTTGGAGAGGTCCACGGAAAAACGTGGCTGAATCCAGAATGATCTGAGAGACAAATACGGGGTTTTGAGGTTCAATTAAGCCATTGTACATCAGGGTCTGGATTTTTCTGTTGTAATGTCAGCTGCTGATTCATTGCCCATTTAGACAGTAACGTTTGGGAAATCTGAACCCAGAATTTGCTGGATCCAGCTTTCATCAGCACCTGGATTTGGGTCCATCTGTGTCTATGCATCTAGGCTTGTATGCTGCACTTGCCACTATGTTACCTGAGCATAAAGTTACACCAATCCTGGACTCAGTAGACCTGAGTTTCTCTCCTCTTGCTCTTTCTGGCAGCAGGATGGGTTTGTGGGTGGTCACGACGTCTTTATGTTCCAGTCCCAGGCAAGCCCTCCATGCTGATTAGCACAACAGCCATGAACACCGCTCTCATCCAGTGGCACCCCCCCAAGGAGATGGTCGGGGAGCTGCTGGGGTACCGGCTGCAGTACAAACGCACCGACGAGGAGAAGATGAACATCATGGACTTTGAGAAAAACGTCCATCACTACACTGTGACCAGCCTGCACAAAGGTGCCACCTACATCTTCAAGCTGTCTGCCAAGAACAGAGCCGGTCCAGGGGAGGAGTTCGAGAAGGAGATCACCACGACCGAAGACGTGCCCAGCGGCTTCCCGCAGAACCTGCGTGTGGTGGGGCTCACCACCTCCACCACAGAGGTGGCCTGGGACCCCCCAGTGCTGGCGGAGCAAAATGGGAGAATTACCAACTACACAGTTATGTACAGAGATATCAACAGCCAACAGGAGCTGACCAACGTCACCAAGGAGACGAGCATCATGCTGACCAACCTCAGACCTGACACCACCTATGACATCAAAGTGAGGGCCTGCACCAGCAAGGGGGTGGGGCCGCTCAGCCCCAGCATCCAGTCCCGGACCATGCCTGTTGAGCAAGGTAACACGCCTCACAGTGCGGCCTCCTCTCCAGACGGTGACCCTCCCTTTGGTGTGGCGGGCTGGATTCCCTGGGCTCTGGCTAACGAGGCCGTACGTTGTCTGGTTTCCTCTAGTAAAGCTGGCTCGGCACAGGGAGCCTCGCTGAAGGCTTCCCTCACGTTGCCTGTTACTAGGAGGAGGATTTTTTGGTGGGAGCATAATTGCCTTTGTCACTTCACAGGCACACCCCGGTTATCTGTACAGGAAAGGGTCTCTGCTGGCTCAGGTGCAGACCTGAGAGCTGCTGGCTTTTGATCCTGACAAAGGGCCAGGAGAGTCCTCAGGGGGAGGGGAAGCTACAGTTCAGTCTAGACCTGCCGGTCTCTGCCGTTCAAGAACGGAGTCACAATCGGAAACTCGGCTGGGCCTGAGAGACTTGGGGAAAGGTTGCTGCTCTCCCCTGCTTGTCTCCTTTCCTGCTGCAGCTGAATTCAGTAACCCGTGCTGCTGAGCCGCTGCTGGGCCAGGCTGGCAGCTCACAGGCGTTGTTTTTAATTTCAGTGTTTGCTAAGAACTTTCGGGTCAGCGCCGTGATGAAAACGTCCGTGTTGCTGAGCTGGGAAGTGCCTGACTCCTACAAGTCTGCGGTGCCTTTCAAGGTAAGGACCAACTGCACGGGATGCCAGGGTGCCCCCAGGGGAGGTGAGCAGCATCTCTACCGAGCGCCAGGCTCTCAGGCAGACGATTGGCTGAGCAAGGTCCCATTGCTTGTCAGCTCGGGGATGGTTCTGCGGAGGCCTCCGAGCACAGCAATAAGGATCTGCTGATGCTATAGAAAGCAAAGCTACTAACCCGGAGGTGCTGCTGCTTTCTCACCCTCCTTCCCAGCATCCTGGTCTCTGGCAGGGCTGCAAGCCAGAGCCGTGCCAGTGAAGGGGGTCAGCAGTGTCGAGTCCGACAACGAAAATGATTGCTCTGAGGCCAGCAGGAAAAGCCAAATGGGACACGCCTGTGTCGTGTGCTAAGCCAGGATGGCGTGTGCCACGTTAGGTCGTGGTCATTAGACTGTGCGCAAGTGCTGAGAGGTTCCTCCTAGATGGGTCACTAGGTGGCCCTAGAGGGTTGCTAGCAGGCCAGGCCCAGGCTGCAGACACTGAGCGAGCTCACCATCCAGCTATAGACCTGAGCAGAGGAACATTGACGCCAGGTGCTAAGCCTCCACCCTTCCCTGGCCTGGGTCCACTGGTTCCTTTCCACTGTATATTCTCCAAAGCATCCCCCTGCTCTGCTCTTACCACCTGGGTAAGAGGGAGACTTGTGCAGTCCTCCCAAGGCTGTTATTAATACCTCTCCCCTGATCAGATAGTCTGCCAGTTCCAGTGCCTAGGGGTCTGGAGTCTGGCTGGACGAGGTCCCACTTCCAGCCGGCCAGGACAGCTCCCTGGCAATGCCTGCGCGAGGCGCTCCTGTTCTCGGGCTCCTAGCAGGCTCTGCATTTGTTTGTAAGCCAGGCTGGCCTCGCGGCACAGCAGAGCTGGTGATGCCTTACAGCTCTGTGCCCTCAGAGAGGGGGAGGAGGAGATGCTCCCCGGACATAAGGGGAAATCCCAAGGCCGTGTAGAGCGTCCACGAGAGAGCTGGAAATGTCATCTAATCACAGGAAGCGAACAAGGCAGAACAGCCTGAAAACCAGGCAGCGACTCGACCTTAGCGTGACTCCCTTTGCCCCGGCCCAGCTAACCAGATGGCCTGTTTGCCACAGAGCGATCAGAGCAGCGGCACAGTCCCGAGCCGTGGTTCCAGGAAACTGTTTCCATTATAGCAGTCCATGGTCCTCTCTCTGACGGCTGCCTGGGCAGACCCTGCTCAAATGGCTGCTGCTCTCACTTGTCCGGCACAACGCTGGGTGTTTATCAGCCTCCAGGCCCAGAATGGCTTATTCACATGGGCCCAAGCCTGGCCGCGTCCCTTCAGCAGCCGCAGCCTGGATTGCGGGTGTGGGGAGCAGCCGAGGCACGCAGGGTGGGGGATTTCTGCAGAGGTGTCCGGGCTGGGGAGAGAGACTCTTGTAGACAGAAGCACTGTATCTCTGCTCGGAGGGTTTGCTGTGCCGAAGGCGCGGACGGGTGTGCAGGCTGACTCACCGAACCCGTACAGAGGTGATCACTAACCCTTCCAGGCATTGCACCACCTTGAATTCGGAAACATGGTGCAATGAAACCTGAGTTCTCTGTGCCCCCCCATCGCTGTAGTGTGGGAGCAGCTCACAAGCACTGATGAATTTACACACACACACACACACACACACACCGAGAGGGCAGGAAAACATTACCCCCATTTCACAGATGGGCACCAGGGCCAGAGATCCCATGGGAGCTTGTAGTAGAGCCAGAGACAAAACCCTGGTGTCTCGAGTCCGAGTCCACAGCTGCCTTTCTCTGCAGCCGGAACATCTCACTGCCTAGCAGTGCAATCAAGGTCAGCGGGTTCCTGTGGTGAGGGTGAACATGTCTCCCAGGGGAGTTGTGCCGCTCACCTGCGAGTGGGAAGGGGGGTGCGGGGCAGGGTGCATTGCCCCGTCCATGCTGCATGTGTAGGAAACGCATGGAATGGATGAGCTGAACACAAGGGGATATGATCACACCACGGGGCAGTCTCTCCATGGCAAGTGGGAGAAGCGTCTGGAATGGCTGCCTGTGTTTGTGTCTCTCTCCCCTGCTTGCTCATCCTGCCTCTCGATTATAACGCTCAATCGGAATCACTTTGAACTTGCCGAGTTTAGCTGGAAAGAGACAGGGAATCAGAGAGGGCACGGCTCAGCTTCCCAGGGGCCGGCCACGTTTGGACAGGCAAGAGTCTCATTGGGACAGCGGGAACAGCCCAGCTCCCGGTTTGTGCAGGGCATTGAATGGCCAGTTTGGTTTCCCTTCCTAGTGCGCTGGAGGGGATGCTACAACCTGTGGGGTGGGTAGAGCAAGTCCGGCGCCAGAAGGAATAGTGCTGATGCCTTGTCTCTGCCTTGTCGCCAAGACTGCGGACATGAGCAGTGATTCATTCAGTGTCTGCCCCTGCTGCGACACAGGAGCAGATGGTGTTAGTTACCTGTCAGCTGAGAGCAGCCATGCAAACAGGGTTGTTAAAGATATTTCTCCAATAGTATCTTTCTTCTGTTAATACTCCCAGAAATGCAGGTGCATATGAGCCTGGAGGAACAGCCCCTGGGCTTTGCCCTGATAGAAGTCTCAACCTTCGGGAGTGTGTTTTACAAACAAGGTTCACCTCTTTACTCTCTGCTTAATGCAGGCACATGAGATGCAGAGGACAGAGCCTAATAACCGTAGCAGATAAATCTCCATGGGAACAATTAGTATTATCTGCACTTGATAAACAGTCTCACACTAAATCTACATCCCAACGGGTGTCACATTCCATGTTAACGGATTTAATTAAAGGCGATTTTGTTCTGATTGTGAGTACTGGCAGAACCTTGTGTTGTTTTTATGGGGGGATGAATTGGAGACCTCTGGAATTTTCACTCCTATCAAATCAGTAAAGCAGGTGTCAGTTCTCTTCAGGGAACTTCACAGCTTCATCTGGGCCCAGGATAAACTCCCTGCAAAGTGCTGCCTGGCTTTGGTGGGGTATTTTACATTCCAGCCCTCCTGGCCATAAGCCTCGGACATTGTTCCTAGATTCCAGGGACTTTCCTCCTTGCATATTTTCCAAGTAAAGGTGAAATTTGACAATTGCTGGATTCTCACCATTTTGAGCTAGGAGTTGGTTTGGCCAGTTCCGGTGCTTTCACGTAAAGTGTAAGGCCAGCCTTGGTGGTTGTTTTTTCATTTCCTTGACACACCTCCCTGGCCTTGCCCAGGACAGAGGCTGTGTGGGTTGTGGGCAGCATTGTTAGGTATTTTACAGGGGAGAAAAAGATTCTAACTCCCTGCCAAAGTGCAGGATTCATTGTGTCTGCGCCATCCAAGACAGATGCTATCCAGCCTCCATTTGAAGGGTCTTCCACGACCTCCTGAGGCGTCTGTTCCATGGTCCTGCTGGTCTGACAGTCAGGAAGGTTTTCCTGAGATTTAATCTAAAGCTGCTGTGCTTCAGTCTTTGCATGATTCTGTTCGACGTTGGTGAGGCCTCATCTGGAGTCCTGGGTCCAGTTCTGGGCCCCACACGACAAGAAGGATGTGGAAAAATTGGAAAGAGTCCAGCAGAGGGCAACAAAAATGATTAGGGGGCTGGAGCACATGACTTATGAGGAGAGGCTGAGGGAACTGGGATTGTTTAGTCTGCGGAAGAGAAGAATGAGGGGGGATTTGATAGCTGCTTTCAACTACCTGAGGGGGGGTTCCAAAGAGGATGGATCTAGACTGTTCTCAGTGGTACCAGATGACAGAACAAGGAGTAATGGTCTCGAGTTGCAGTGGGGGAGGAAACACTTTATCACTAGGAGGTGAAGCACTGGAATGGGTTCCCTAGGGAGGTGGTGGAATCTCCTTTCTTAGAGGTTTTTAAGGTCAGGCTTGACAAAGTCCTGGCTGGGATGATTTAGTTGGGGATTGGTCCTGCGTTGAGCAGGGGGTTGGACTAGATGCCCTCCTGAGGTCCCTTCCAACCCTGATAGTCTATGATTCTATGATTCAGTTCAGCACATTTTTTAGTGAGCATAGAAACAGCCCCATGAATGGCAGTTAGCCTCAGCTGCGTTATAACCAAGACTCCAGCCTTTAGCGATGACGTTTGGACCCACCGAGCTTTGCAAGCCTGTCTCTGTGAGCTAGAGCAGCACTAACAGGGATTTTATAGCAGGGCAGGCGTGGGTCAGCCCAGTGTTCAGCAGTTTAAAGCCCTTTGGCCACATTTCGCTGCTGACTAAAGTAGGTGTCACTGCGCCGTTCGGCAGCCTCTGGTTGGTATGCTAGCTTCAGCCCCTGGGCTCCCACACAGCAGTGACTTTATCCCTGTGCCCTTACATCATCTACGGTTCATGGAGAGGCGCTAACTAATGGTGCATAGCGTTGGAAAAGGTAATGCAGACTGGCAGGTAGAGGAACACAGAACCGTTGTGGGGAGAGGGGCTGGGAGCTTTGTTTCCTTGTCTTTGGACACACGTGTCTGGGCAAGGCAATGAACGTCCTCTTCGGATGTCAGCAGGAGACCACGCAGTGCAAGTTTGTGGAGCTTTTCAATCAAACCCAGAGCAAGCAAGGAGACTCTGGCTGAAAGCCCCAGATTGTCCATCCAGTCTGCAGCACTCATGGGCCTCCCCGCCCCCGCCCCCAGGGAAACACGGCACGCGGGTTCCTGTTCCTGGAGCTGCCGTGTTTCTGCACCAGCAGAGACGGCGGGTTGCTGACTCAGCAGACCGTGATGTCTTGGTGCCGAAAACTCAGCCAGGTTCACTGTCAGCAAAGCTCGGTGTCAGTGCCCGGCTTGCTGGTTACCAGCACACTATCACACGGACGCCTGTGACAGTGCAGGGGTCAGCTCCGTCAGCATGGTGGTGTCCCATAGGCCAATACAAAGCTGCCCCTCCTGTTATACAGCGATACAAACCAGTTACGTGCTACGCTCCAGATGTTACTAGTTACCCTCCTTGTGCCTCACACCTAATAGTTCAGACAAAACGTCCTCATCCATTCTCCTGTCCTCCCCTCCGGATCTTACCCGGGGTCCCGCCCCGCCCTCTGAGGAGAGCATGAGGTGGTTACTGGAGAGGTCTGCGTCTTCTGTCAGGAATGCGTTTGCTTGGTCGGCTGATTCCTAGTGTTACTGTTCTAACAAGGCCCACTTTGGTTCACAGCCGACCTTGCCTCATGCTTTTAACCATGCCTAGGGCTCCAGCAAGGCCTACAGCCTTCGCACATGTGCATTGTATAGACCACATGCCTTCCTACAGCACATGTGGAAGCCCTTTGGAATCACTTAGTTGTGGGAGACTGTGTGATGGGAGATCCCACCTGCTGCTAGTCTGGGATCGGGAGCGGGGTTTGTGTGACCTGAGTGTTTCAGCTTTGTTCGTGTTTGAGTCTGAGCAGATTTCCTGAGCTGAGGCAGGGAGTCAGGTAGGAATCTGCCTGCAGATAGGTAGCCCAGCCCTGTTCTTGTCTGGAATACGCTGCCCACTGCTGCAGTATTGTGTTAGTGCTGGAAGGAGTTGATGCAAGGATAGACTGCAGAGCTCTAAAGTAACCAGCTGTTTCTTCTGGCTTGGCTGAGTCTGGTGTGACTGAGCAGGAGGAAACCTGCCAACTAACGTCTGACATTCCAGAGGCTTTAAGAGGCATTTCTGGGTCTGGATGCTTTGCCCCCACTCTAGTGCCTGTCTGACGTGTCTCTCTGCAGAGAAGGGATTAAAGCCTCGGAAGAAATAGTCTCACGGGAGTCACAGCAGAGAACACGCCCTCCGCATCGACTCCACACTGGGGAGCCAGCAGGGGTCTCATCACTGCAGGCATCCTTGTTATTTTAGCAGTGGGGCCCATCCCGAAAGACCGGCGCATGTCAATGAGAACGTGGGGCGTGTCTGTCCCTCCCTTCATGCTCTGTTCCGGCCAACCACGTCCTCCGGGCTGGCGGAGAAAAGAGTCTGTATGTGAATGGACCAACCTCAGCAGAGTGCAGTGGCCAAAGCCTTCTGGGCGTGGCTACTTAGGTCACCCAAAGCAGCACTGTGCACCTCACTCTGCGTTTGCTCCCTGTGCCTGGCTGCCCCAGGGGTTCTGCAGGGCCTGCTGCTCCCCTTCTCGCTAGCTGCCCTGTGGAGTTAATGAGGGGCGCCTGCCCCAGTGAGACAGCAGCTGCTTCAGGGCTCTGCTGGCAGAAGTGTCCCACCTCGCTCTGGTGCTGCTTCACCCGCTCAGCTGCACCCAGAGGGAGAAAGGTCGCTGGCTCCCTTCTCTGGAGAGCCCAAAGGCAGAGCATGTTTGTGGGCGTGAGGCAGCCGTCTCCACCTGGGTGCTCTAGGCTCACCCCTCCCTGGTTCATGACAGCAGCTCTCAGCATATGGTCTCTTCAGAGCACTTTCTACACATTAATCGATCTTGCAGCCTCCATTAGATTCAGGAACCCCCCGTCGAGTGCTGGGGATTGCCTAGCAGAGAGGAGCCAGCGTCTCCGCTGCAGCCGAAGGCAGCCGAAGGCCCTCCAGTCCTCTCACCAGCACCGCGGGTGTCTGTGGGGATCGCTTGTGTTTCTGACTCTGCCACGCGTCTCCGTTAAAGCTGGGATGGGGCGGGGTCCCCTTGCTGCTGGCTCTCCCACTGAGAGGTTGAACCAGGGCTCAGATCCAGATTTTCGGCCTGAAACCAATGAAGCCCAGCAGGTGCCACTCTGCTCATGCAAAGCAGCCGCTGCAGCCGGAGCAAATTCATCCTGAGCACATGGGGCAGCAGCAACCACCAGAGCGTGCCCACGGCCCCACGCGTCCAGGAGAGCCGCTCTCGGTCAGCCAGCAAGGGTGGCTTGAGCAGGCAGCCCCAGGGGCGTCGTGTCTTGTTTCCTCGTGATATCACGTGGCAGTGCCCTGCTCCATGCCAACAAGAGAGTGCGCTCCCCATTCTCTCCAGCAGTGATGCCGGTTACGGTTCTTTGGAAGCCCACCCCAGGCAGAGGTAAGGTTTGAGCCCCAAGCTCTGTGCTCGGTTTGCAGCGCACCAGCAGCTGTTGTGCTGGTGCCCTGGTGTCACACCAGTGAGGTCGTGTTTTTGGGTGTGGGTGTGTGAGATGCATTACTGATTGGTCAGAGGCATAATTCTAGGAAACAAATGATCCCCGTAGTTCCCTTCCTGGGAAGGGGCAGTTCTGTGTTCTCCCTTTGAGCGTGTGTTTACTGTTAGATTAGGGTTGAAACCACTTTAGAACCAATGGGGTTTTATGCCCAAAGTCCAGTGTATGTCATGCCACCACAAGGAAACAAAGACCCATTAATATGAACCCATCTGTCCTGTCCTCCTACCTATGCACCGAAGAGATGCTCTGGTGGGGCATCGCCGGGGATGCGTCTGGTGGAGTCTTTGCAGTTTAGGATTCTAACCACCCAGCCGGTGTTGGCGATTCCGCACTGTGGCCGTAAGGAGCAGTGCGTGCTGCTCCGCTGGCTGCTCCGGGTTACTGTGTGGCTCTTTGTTCTCGTTATGTGCATTCCATAATCTGGCTCTGGGCCCTCCCGCAGGTGATCAGCTCTAATGCTGCCTTCTATTCTGAGCATGCCCTGCCGCATGATGTGTCCTTTCCCGTTTCAGATCCTGTACAACAGCCAGAGTGTGGAGGTGGACGGCCATTCGATGAAGAAGCTCATAAGCGACCTTCAGCCGGATACAGAGTATTCCTTTGTGCTAATGAACCGCGGCAGCAGCGCTGGTGGGCTCCAGCACCGGGTATCTATCCACACGGCTCCTGATGTCTTGCAGAGCAAACCCATCTCCACAAACAAATACATGCAGGAAGGAAAGTTCACCCTCACCCTTCCCAAAGTCCAGATCTCAGCGCCAGTTAGGTAGGTGCGCCCTGCTAATGGACCAGAGGGCATGGGGAGGTAGGAGGCTGGATTGTTCTCTTTATGGACCCACTGAGTCTAACCCATTGATTCAGTGACATTGTGGGATGAATGCCAGAGCAGCCCGCAGATGCTGGAGCCAGGTTTTCCCTTCACCACATGACAGCGCATTGCTGGCATGTTCTGAGCTGATGCTTTTGTGAGACAGGGTAACAGCTCCCCGTCACTTCTCGGGGTGGAACTGAGACCCTCCCGGTAAAGCCAGCTGAGAATCCGGAGGTGCTTTCTCTGTCACTGCACAGCAGCTTTTGAATAAGTAATGTCTTTAAAGCCTCAAGGAGATTAAAACAAGCCAGTTCATAGAAGTCTCATTTGTAACTGTGCTATCCTCGTGCTGAAACCCGATTCCCCCAGGGATCCTGCTACAGCCAGTTTATATAAATGTCCTTACCCCAGCTCCTGCTACCATCCTCTAGTCTAGCGCGTGGTCTGTGTATCTTCATTAACCTAATGATCGCTAGCAGGGAGCGTTCTGTTCCTCAGCACAGCAGGAAAACTGGCCTCTGACTCAGTGAAGCTTTTTGCCCATTACAGAAGGGGAGAAAGAGGAGATTTGGGGAAGGGGTTTTGATGGGAGGCATCTTGAACTTGTTTCTATTCAATCACCTGCTAAAGAAATGTCCTAATATCTCCTGCTAGCACTAGCCACCTCCCCTGACCCTTCTTTCCTCCCCAGGTGGTACTATATTGTGGTTGTGCCAGTAGATCAAACCACCAGCAGCCGCACGGCCAGGTGGCGGACGCCTGATGAGATGGAGCTGGACCAGGTAGGAGTCAGAGAGACCTGGTTTAAGTGTGATCTTCTAAGGCTTCCTTTTGTGCTTCGCCCACGCTGCCTGGGCCCTGGGAAAGGTGGCTTAGAGCTCCGGCTTGTATGAGGAAAGGGGCACTGCCAGGGGACAGGCTTGCAGAGAAGCCCCCGGAGATCACTTTTTCCCTCCTGCCTGTACAGGATCTGATAACCGCCCTAATGCTTGGCACTTCCACAGCCTGCCCAAGGGTTTGATTCCTTCGCCTTCTAGCTTCTTCCCCGGGAGACTCCCTCAGCCCTTTGCAAACACTGAGTCAGACCCCAGCATTAGGCAGGGCAGTAGTATTGTCCCCATTTTACAGGTGGAGAAGCTGAGAAGCCAAGTAATTTGCCCAGGGTGTCTCAGAATGTCAGATACAGAGCTAAAGCCAGCGCCCAAAACTCTCAATCCCCCATCCGGTGCCCTAGCCCCCTCCACGTTGCACATTCAAAATGCTTTTCATGGTTTAACCATCACAACTCCCTGTGTGTCTTTGGAGCAGGATTTGAATCGTGTGCAGTAAACGAGGAGAAAAAAAAATATTTAACAGCTGCTCGTTGCGTCCGGTGCGCTGAATGAGGCAGGGTCCTGTGGACAACATAGTGTGTGATTGTGTAATTAAAAACTCTCATAATACACAGGCACCAGGGGGCTGGCTGAAAGCTGCCGGGGCAACCTGCATTCTGGCATTTCCTGCATTCAAGTGCTTGACTTCACAACCTTAACGTTCTTTTCGAGTCGTTTTTTGTATGGAATATGCATGTAGGTGACAATAGCATGTAGAGACTCCAGTCAGAAACGGGGCCCCCTTGTGCTGTGCGTGGGGCAAGTCCAGTCCTGTTCTCTGCCCCAGAGCGTTTAAATGTCATTTCAGACAAGATGCAGCAAGTGACTAATGAAGCGAGGGTCACCCCTTGGGTCTGTAGTTTTGTTTTAGGAGGTGTTAGTGTACATGTTAGCTCACAGAGCCGTGCGCTCTAGCTGCAGCCCAGAGTTAGACACAGGCGCGTATGTATCATCCGCACTAGGACTTACAGAGCTAAGCCCTCCGAAGAGGAGGCTGGAGGCAGCGCAGCACGGGGGCTCGTGGTGACAGTAACGGTGGTTCTGAAGCACGCAGAGGTTTGGTTTTGTAAGGAGACACTAGAAGGGGCTTTCACTGGTGCCAGTCCCTTGTGCACGAGCCCAAGTCTGCACTGCCGCATTGTGACCCGGCAGCAAGGTCCTGTGGTGGTGCCAAACGAGCACAGACTAGGAGCTGCCTGTCGTCACCCTGGGCTAAAAAGGACCGAAGGGTGACAATGGGCAGCAAATGTGTGTGGTGCAGGTGGAACTGAGATGTGCTGGCTGTAATTCCCAGCTCTCATTCGACCCTGCCTTGTACCGACGTGCAAACCTCACAGTCCGTTGGTGTTCTCCTGCCTTTCCTCCCCACGGTTCCCAGGATATTAGTCTGTAAACGTGAGGCTTCTCCTTTGCCTGGTTCCTTCCGTGAGGTTACAGACGCTGGCCTCCCTGGTTCACCTCAACAGGGGCTCGGCTGCCAGGGGAGGGGGCTGGGGCTGGGGCTGGGGCACTTTGACGGCCTCTGTGTAAATACCCGTGTTCCCAGCCCCACGTCACTCTAGGGCCCTGTCTGCTGACAATGCGGCACGTTGGGCTGTGAAATGTATTTCATGCCTCCTCCTCCATTTGAAATTAGAATTTCTGTTTGGTGCCTGGCACTGATTTTTATTCACTAGAAAAACGTCTTCAGACACCGGCGAGTCGTTTTTAGCAGCGTAATTGAATGTTGGGGTGTTTATGCCTTTTTCGGGAATTTGTGGCCGACTATGAAATGTGCCATTTTTGCTCTGAGCGTCCCATGCAATCTGCTGTGGCTCTGTGTGATCTACACGCAGCCCTGCCGGCAGCCCGGCAGCAGGGGAACTAGCAGAGCTCAGACAGGGAGAGACGCACAAATGTCACTTTTTCTCGACAGCAGCCGCGACTGCCGTTCACGCCTGGTGTCTGTGGAGAGCCAAGCGGCTCTCCATGCCAACGGTCACCGAACGTGGCCTGCTTCCCTTGCACCCAGCTGGAATCCATTAACCCAGGGCTCTTGGGGTCCAAGCAATGCCCCTCCCGTGAAATAACAGCGTGAGCGTCACGGCGGCCGAGTCCCAAGGCCCAGACCTCTCTCTCTCTGACGCCAGCCTGGGTGCGAAGGCGCTTGCAGCAAATCCCACGGTGATGGGGGCCCTAGCAATGCCTTCAACAGCTGGAGGTTCAGTCACCCCCCCAGTTGCTTTGCTGCATGTTAACTGTAACTCAGCCAGGAGCCTTTCCTCCCCTGCCCCAGCCCAGCCTCGGCCTTCGTCATGGACATGAGCAGGAGGTGGCCAATCCAGCCCTCTGACTTGAGGCGTGAGGGGGGCTGCCAGGGGGTCAATGAAATAAGGAGGGAGGAAAGTTCTGAAGCGTCTGTTCCTGGCTGGGCTTGGCCCAATCCACGTGCAGGTCCCCGGCTGTCAGTCAGGGCAGCGTGCACCTCTCGAACGCTGGGGAGAGGGATGTAATGACCCACGTTCTTTGTCCTCAGTTACTGGAGGCCATCAGCCAGGGCAGCCTGGGCAGGCGCCAGCGGCGTCAGGCAGACAGGCTGAAGCCCTATATCGCTGCTCAAGTGGACATGTTGCCAGAGACCTTCACCTTGGGAGACGAGAAGACCTACAAGGGCTTCTACAACAAGCCGCTCTCTGAGGATCTGAGCTATCGCTGCTTTGTGCTGGCGTCGCTGGAGGACGGCGAGACGGTAAGGGCTTCTTGCTAGAAGGGGCATCCCGCTCTCTCCCCCAGGCCAGGGGCGCCCGAGGGGCTCAGTGCAGGGAGCTGGCAGCCTGCTCAGTGGAGTTCCCTGCAAAGTGAGGTGAGCCCGGCACAGTAGCTGGTGTCAGGGAGAGGAGGCGTCCATTGGAACTGACTTGATGAATGGTGTTTTCCGACGGAAAGAGCAGGTATCTTTGACATACCAGATGAGAGCTGAGGGCAGCACTGGGAGTCGAGCTCCACCACTGCAGAACTCTAGACTCCGCTGTGACGGGGCTGGCTCTGAGCCCCGTTTCTGCTCAGAAAAGTGACTGTGGAACAGGCCTGTGCGCTCGCAGGGACCAGGCTCAGAGACAGCCCGCAGGCACCCAGCTGCCTCACCCACCCTTCCTAAACTGCTGCTGTGCTCACCAGACTCTCAGCTGGGCTTCCAGCCTCTAGCTGTGGTGGCAGCGGAGAAACCTCTAAACTGGCCTGCGGAGAGGAGCCCGCCGCCACTGGGTGGGTGGGGGAGAGCTGCTCCGTGCACTCTGGTGCCCTGTAACAATAGGTTAGACATCAGCATTGTCTGAGTACTACCACTTTTTTCTCCAGTCCCCTGGCAGTAACGCTCTAATCCTATCTGCCCTGGGACACATCGGAGCTCCAGGAGTGCTGAGATGCCGCTGGGATCTGCAGAGCAGTTTTGCACTCCACTGTGTGACCCTGTGGATTCTAGAAAAAAGAACAGGAGTACTTGTGGCACCTTCGAGACTAACAAATTTATTTGAGCATAAGCTTTCGTGGGCTACAGCCCACTTCTTCGGATGCATAGAATGGAACATATATTGAGGAGATATATACACACACATACAGAGAGCATGAACAGGTGGGAGTTGTCAGTCAGCCCTGATGCAGGAGGCGGGGCAGAGTCCTACGCACTCTGGACTCTGCCTGGCTGAACAGGGCTCACTCAGAAGAGACATGGAGGGAGCTTGGAGAGTCACTTCCCTGATCAGAATCTCCCTCGAAAGGGGCGTGTAAGGGAGTAAATTCACCTGTTCCCACAGTAGCAGGGTCTTTGCGGGGCGTGAAAGCGTGCGGGTTCCCAGCCCTGGTGCCTCTCCTTGCTAAGGGGAAATAGGGTGACCAGACAGCAATTGTGAAAAATCAGGACAGAGGGTGGGGGGTAATAGGCACCTATTTAAGAAAAAGCCCCAAATATCGGGACTGTCCCTATAAAATCCGGACATCTGGTCACTCTAAGGGGAAATGGCGCATACCTGGATGGCTGAGGAAGGCAGCTGGCCCAGCACGCAGGGGTCTAAGGGAGGGAGAGGATGGCTGCCGCAGTGAGCATGAAATAGCAGAGCAAGACCTGTGCCGGGAGATCCTCCTGTAAATTGCTTGTGGGGGAGGGAGGAGAGAGGTGGCAGCGGCGGTGTGTAAATAATGGGAGATAATAAAGATGCTCCGGACCCTCTGCTCCGCTCCCACGCTGGGGCTCACTTCTTCAGCCTCATTTACTTGTAATGGCTCATTAGCACTGGTCAAACTCTCCATTACTCATCCGGCCCACAGTGCTCGTGGCAAGGTGCAGACACAGTGAGGCGGGGAAGAGACCCAGCTAGCAGTGCAGAGCTCTCAGATCACACCGGCCAGGCACGCTGGTAGCTTTACTGCCCCCAGGACCCTGCGACATGGGGCCCATTCTCGCGGAAAGCACAAGGCAGTGTGTCCAGTCACAGGGCTGCTTGTCCCCACACAAATCCTGCATTGCCTGCTGGGTCCCTAGAGTCAGGCTGAGCGCGGCTCATCGGGGGGCACCTGCTCCGTCTGGAAACATCGTCCTCATGATCCTTCGGCTCGCTGGGCTCCTTCCTTGCTTCGGAGGGAGGCCAGTCAAAGAGACCAAGGGACACTGGTGTCTCGGGCCCCTTTGCAAGCCCAGCAGGGCAAACGCTCTGCAGCGCTGTGGCTGCCTGCACTGGCCCCAGGAAGGAGGCTCCATGTGATAGCGTTTAGTCCTGTCTTCAGATGTAGCTAGATGCTTCTGTGGGACCTGTGCGCCTTCCTCAGCAAATAGCGCGGCAATGAGCCCCTCCCTCCCGCTGCCCACTCACCTCCCCTGCCTCTTGTCTGACGGAGCCGGAGCCGGCTCGTCCCCCTCCCCACCCCCACGCCAGGGTCCGGCAGAGCGCCAGAAGGGTGCTGTCTGAGCTGTAGAGGGAAGTGTTGTCTACACGCTGGTGGGCCCAAACTACCTCCCTAGTGCCTCTAGTGGCCACACGCAGACATTGGCCAGGAAAGGAGAAGAGATTGAAGCCTGCAGGACCCTATGGGGGGGGACGTGCAAGGGCGCGTGGCCCCCAGCAGAACCCGCTGCCAGCGCCGCTGCAGGCTGCTGCTAAACCCGCCTAGCTGCACCTGAGGGTTTGACCTGTGTATTGCCGGAAGGGGGTCGTAGATAGCAGGCCCAGGAGAGGAGATTCCCACCCGCCCCTTCGCACCTGCATCCACGTGAAGTGTGGGTCTGAACTTGACCTTAAAGCAGGCAATGTATAGATCCACAGGCACCCGAACTTCCTGTCTCTGGCAAGGCTGGAGAGTTTCTCGTTCCCGAGCACAGGACAGCAAGTGCTACCTGAGAGCCCCCGGCACTTGGCTGATACGGCTCCTGCTTTCTCGCTAGGCGGAAGGGATTGCTTTTCGCAGTATTTAACCCTTCTGACCCAGTAAGGCTGAGCTGTGAAGCGACGCCACGGCGACATAAGCCTTAGCAACCGCGGCATAACAAGCCTGCAGCTGGGCGTTGGGTCTGTTAATCCTGCCCTGCTGTACTCGATCTGAGCAGCAGCCTCTTCGAGGCCGCAGGTCACTGTGCCACCACATCGCCTCGTTCTTGGGAAGGACCCTGCTAGCGAGAGACCCCTGCGCCGAGATCTCTGCTAGCGGAGCTGAGACACGTCCTTTTGTTCCCTCAAGAGAAGTGTCTGGCCTGGCGGGGGTTCTCCAACTGCAGCCCCATCCTGGGGAGATGTGTTTATATCAGCATAATAGGTGTTATAAACCACTTAGCGCTCATCAGCCAGCCCCAGCCACTGCCTGGGATTGCAAAGCCTGTAATTTGCTCCTAGGGAGCCTAGTGGGGGAGTTGCTCTTAGCTGGGCTGTTCCATTTCGGCACCTAGGGAGCTCGGCTGGCTGGCTGGCTGGAGAATTGCTGTAAGTTGGATTGTGCCATTTCCCAGGAGGAGGAGGTGGATTTCCATGTGTGCTGGCGCGATGTCCTGGCACATGGGGAGCCCTGGGTGTGGGAGCCAGGTCCTCCCCGCGCTGGGCAGAGGCAGGGTGCCATACAATAGGATGGGAGGTGGTCGTTTCCTTCACCCTAACGGATGTTTGCATTCTCTGCCCCCCGCTCTCTGCAGAAGAGGTACGCAGCCAGCCCCTACTCGGATGAGATTGTGATGTCTTCGGCGAAGCAGCAGGACGAGCCCGAGATGCTGTGGGTGATGGGACCGGTGCTGGCCGTTATATTAATCATCATCATCGTCATTGCTATCCTGCTCTTCAAAAGGTGAGAGCCAGGCCTGCTCCCCACGCAGCATGTCGGCACCAAGGGACCTCCCTCTCGCCGTCAGACCCAGCGTTCCCCGTCTGGTTCAGGGCCTACGGGCATGGTGGAGGGCATGCGAAGCAGCATACAGGGCTGGTTTATAAAGTAGACAGTAGACAGCCGGCTGGGGCATGAATGTGAATCCCCAGGCACAGAAAGAAGAGGGAGGCAGGAGGTGTCCCAGGGCCCCACGGGGCAGTCGGGGGAAGGGGAAGCGATCTGTCCTTGGTGGCGTGCTAGGAGGAGTCCCACCACTCTCGGGTTAGCTTCCCCAGGCTGGTTTCCAGAGCCTGAGTGTCCTGGTGAAGTTGAAGATGTGGGAGCCTGATTGGCCCCTCTCAGGTGCCCCTACTAAAGAGCCTGCCTGCTTCACTCCGCCCCTCGGCAGGCCATGGACACTAAGGGCTAAACCCAGACAGAAATGCTGCTCCTCCTGGTGCCCCTCGAGCGTCCCACTGGCGCGGTGTGCTCCCCGCTGAAGGACCGGCCCTCCGAGCTCATGGGCCATAAGCTCTGTAGTGTGACCCTGTGTTGTAAGTCTCTGTGATGAGCTGTTGGTTCATTTACATGAGTTTCTATAGCCCACTCAATTGTAACCAGTGGAGTCTATCCGCTCACCTCCTGGATTCTCTATCTCTATGTGTATTTTGTGCTGGGGGAAGGGACCTGGCTTTGTTCTCTGATTAAATGGAGCTCTGCGCTGTGCATGTGCAGTCAGTGCCTTTCTGTCTCAGTGATCACCTCCTTTCTTCTGTTTCTGCTCTTCTCTGGATCTAGTAAACAAGAAAGGTAGGAATCCGTTTTCTCTTCCCTCTTTGTTTAAAGTTTAAAATCTACTTCCCCCTTTAAGAACCTGCTGCCTGGTGTGTCCCGGCTTCCCTATGTGCAGGTGTGGCGTACTACCCCTCGGCCTTTAGCGATTCACGTGGCTGACAATCACAGGTCACAAGATTTGTGCCAGAATGTTTTGCAACTGGGTTACAAATCTAGAAGTGCGATTGTAAGTGGTTATAGGGGTTTCTTTGCACCTCCAGTCTTTCAACTGAGAACTTAGGTGCCATTCGTCTGTAACATGGATCAATGTCTCCTGCAGCTGGTAAAGTTGACCCTGACCTTGCCACGGTGCGATGCCAGCCTGTGGCCATTGCATTGACAGGGACTGTGCTGCTTGGGAAGGTGCCATCTGCGCTTGGGCTCCATAATTCAAATCCTGCCTTTACGCATTAGCCGACGCCCAGATGGCCCTGTGTGGTAATTCACCCGTCTCCAGGAGGGTTTCTTTTACGGAAGTTGACAGACACAAGCAGTTTCTGAGCCACCACAAGGAATGTTTTGTGGAAGCCCAGGGCAGATATTCCCTCATCTGGGTTTCCCTGTGTCTGTCTGTCTGTAAGTCCCTTTGGGTGCTGGGCCCAGCTTGGCTTAGTTTTGTTTTTTCTGTGGCTCCCCAGACCCCATTGTTAGATGGACGCTTCAGAAATTAAATAACTCTCTTCCCTGGTGCTCTTCACTTGTCATCGTGAGACAGCAGCACCCGACACACCTCTGGGCGCTGAGTCCGGCTGCTTTCTCCTAAGGCTTCGCTCTCTAGCTTCCTTTCTGAGGGCTTTTCTCCCTGGAGTTCTAAATCTCAAATGCAAACGGATTGAATCCAGCTATTGGTACATTGCATGAAAGTCTGGACAGCCTGGGTTTGTTGGTTTCACAGAAGCCCCCTGTGGGCTTTTGAAACTGACTAATATCAAACACCTTTTTGCCTCCTTCCCCACAGAGACCCAAGTCACGTTGCCCAAGGACTTGGGGACCAAAGCACGATAACATATGCCGTGTCTCACCATGGTGTCTGAGAGCAGGAGAGATGGTGCTTTCGTGTGCGCTTGTCCCTCTCCTTCCATTGATGCTGTAAAGTCCGGGAGCTCTCCTGTCTGGCTCTCAGAGAGTCAGAGGACTTGGTAGATGCTTGGATCACTCCACATGGTGTGAGGATCACATGCTGCTCCTCCCCTGCCGATCACCCCGAATGTCTTGTAGTCCCAATGTCCAGATGTTTTGGCTGCAAACTGAACTTCAGTCATAGTTTGGGTTCCCCCGAGTGAATTAAAGTTCTGCTGCGTAGAATCACTTAATAACGAATGACGTCTTGCCGCTCCCCACACCAGGCACTAATGCAGAAACCCGTGTGCACAGCTCTGTAGCAGTGTGTAAGTAGTAATACCCTGTGCTGGAACAGCACCTTCCCTAGTCATGTATGTGAGACTCCGGTCACGCACGAGTCTGAAATGCAGCTACTTCTGGGCGGAACATGGCAGCTGTTAACAATGCCCGGCAACTCCTCAGAACAGATTAGAAAGGGGAGGAAATCTGGTGAATTTAGATGGGGACACACTAAAATTGACCTGGGAGGTTGGTGACAACATGCCCGTCTCCTACAGAAAGCTATGGGGTCTTTGATATTCACCAGTGGGGCAACCCCCCCGGGTTTATGTTTTGTCCAAAAGGCAAAGCCTCCAGTATCACAGCAGCACCCTCTAGTTCTACGCTGAGGCATTTGGGTCAGCACTGACCCAGAGAAATGTCCCTGCTCCGCAGAGCACAGCGCCCCCTAGCACCACACGGGGGCATTCCCTTTAGCTGTAACCCATCTGAAACATCCATAGCACTTCTTGCAGTGCCAAGTTTGCCTTAAAGGTCTCCCGTCCAATTACCAATCAGGTCTGTCCCTCCTTGGCTGGTGAATTACACCAAGATCAGCGCCCGAGGTGGTGACATAAATATAGCATTAAGAGACAACAGTGTGTTTTATTGTCCCGTTAATACACGCCTGGGGTGCCTTCAGCCATTCAAGACATGTATTAATGGCCCAATAAAACACACCCTGAAGAGTCTTTACACCATTACGCTATGGTTCTCGACATTTCATTTCTTTTAATACTTGGGGGGGAAATTGACTCTATCCTTCCGCTACAGGAAATAGTTCCTAGGGAGAGTAAGCGGTAATGGGGTTTTGCTTCCTCCTCTTTGCTTCTGATGAATACGTTGTACGGAATATGGCATCTCCTAAGGGCTTCCCACACACTTGCTGGTTAAGCCCCTGTCGTCCTGCAGTGGGAAGTCAGAGGGCTCATCCGCGCACTATAGGTGGAGAACCTTAGGCCAGCAACATGGGCCCGCAGGGAGGTGGTGGCACAGCTGGTTCTCAAATGCAGGAGTCCTCAGTCCTCTTGGCCCCCTGCTCTGAGCACTTCCTGCCAGTCCCTCCCAGAGCTGGAGAGAGCCCAGGAGTCCTGACTGCCATTCTTGTGCACAGCCCCCCCCCCCCAATCCAGCATGGCCCCTGGCTGCAGCCCGGGCCGGGCAGGGAGGGCTCTTACGCGGTTTTGCTTTCACTTGTGACAGTAACTGGGGGGCTGATTTAGCTGCTCAGAGAGTGGCGCTCCCGGCCCGGGGAGTGCAGCAGCCGAGCTCACGGGCAGAGGCACCCATCAGTACATTCAGCCCCCCACCCCCCCGTGTCTGCCCTGCTGGCCAGGCAGCTGTCTGAGCGCCAGCTGTGTGCATGGTCGCCATGCTGGTCTGTGGGACATGCACTTCCTCGCTGGGCCCCTCAATTGTGTGTTTTCCTTCCCTAGGAAAAGAGCCAACTCCCCCTCGTCCAAGGACGAGCACTCCATCGGCCTCAAGGACTCCCTGCTGGCTCATTCCTCCGACCCTGTCGAGATGAGGCGCCTCAACTACCAGACCCCAGGTAGGATGCTGTTTGCGGTGCCTGCCCTCGGGTGTTCCAGAGCTCCCTCCCGCCCCCGGCAGACACTGGGCCGAGGGGATTTCGCCCTCCGTCACTCTCTGAAACGTTCTGCCCCTTCCCAGCCATAGCGATAAGGCCAGTGGTCTTTGTGCAGAGTCCCCACATCTCTGCACTGTGAGCTGACGTGCCGCTCCCCGACCGTGTCACACAGGCGTACAGGGCCTGCAGAGGCAGAAGCCTGGTGTGTGTCAGGCCCTCCCACTCCCTGCCGTAAGCCAGGCTGGTACTCTGCAGGGCGTGGCTGATCAGGACGAAGTGCTGAGGCTCTGGCAGGGAGACTTCAGGGCTCAGGGAAGCTCTGAGGATTTGCCATTCTGACCTGCCCCAGGGCGCGGACCATGTCCGAGGAGTCTCAGCCTTGCTAACAAGCAAAACGAGGGAGGATGCTGGCCTGCCGACGACACTGTGTCAGACAGCAGCTGTGTCTGGGCAGGGTGGGCCCCTTCCCACACGGAGATCTGAGAAACGGCTCAAGAGGAGGTTACTCCTGCTCTGCTCATGTGTGGGGAAGAGAGGTGAGCTGTAAGCATAGCTCCCCCCCAACACAGAGAGGGATGCTGCTGGGGGCAGTGCTGGCAGGCCAGAGGACGAGGCCTCGGTCACACCCAGTGAGTTCTGCATGCAATCGTTCGCTGTGGAGCATCGCCAGTCATGCCTGCACTGTCCTGTGGTGCCTGGGGTCCGTAGACAGTGTATCAGCCACGGGAGGCAACTGTACTTTCCAGAGCAGAAACGTCTCCTGCTGCTGCTTTGTAGCCCGTGTGTCTCTGACGGCTCTGAAAGCACCGGGCCTGTCATTAGCGAGATCAGAGACCGGCACGCCCAAGCTAATTGAGCCACGTCCTCAATGCAGCAGAAGGGCCGTGGGGCTCTCCGTGGTGGGGGCAGTTAGCAGTAAATGAGGCCACGCCCCGGTCCCTGCTGCCTTCCAGCCTTCCTAGGACATAACCTACTTTCCCTTTCTTCCTGCTGCTCCTCCGGCTAAAAGCTCTTGTCTAACGGGAGGCGTTTGAAGGGAGTGTTTCCTGATGGAAGCCTACTGGGTCTGGGCAGGGAGGGTGAGCGAGAGCGTTCTTCTTACCGCTGGCTATTCGAGCCAGCCCCACTTCCCAGCTCTCCCCTTCCTCTGCCGAGGAACCAGCGCGGCTTGTTCAGCCCAGCGCTGCCGGGGGAGCTGCTTGAGAGGGGAGGCTGGACAGGGCCAGGATTGGGGGGCTGCTAGGCAGTCCTCGTGCCAGGCTCATGTTCCAGATTGGATGGGAAGGATGCAGTGACAGCTCTGCCCTAAATAGTGGGCTGTGGGGCTCCTCAGGGTATGAAATAAGGCAAATGTTATGCAGCGGCTTTGGAGAAGATGGTTTGGTACTGTCTTGGGAGAGGGAGGAGCTGAGAGCTCACAGCCAGGGCTTTGCCAGCGCACAGAGTGCAGGGCTGGGGACGGGTGAGTTGCAGCAACAGGGCCTTAGGGTGACAGTACCTGGGGGTTTGCTCAGGCTGCTTGTGTGCTGGGCACGTGCTTTCCAAACCTGGTTTCCATGCACCGGCCTCACTCCCCAGGGAGAAGCAGACATGGCTGCTGGTAATTATTTGAGCACTGGGGCTGGTTGGGATTTTGAGTAGGTTCCTGTCCCTGCAGGGGCCCTGGATGTGTTCATAGGCCCTACCCTTGGGCACTCCAGAGCATGTCAGATGGGCTTCTGTCACGTGCTGCACAAAGGGGCAAGACCCTACCCAGATCTGCACAAGAACCACATTCTCTGGGCAGAGGGGTGCAGGCCACCCCCTGCCGCCCATCCCCCATGCGTCAGGACAAACAGGGAGCAGGCGTAAGGGAAGGAAAGCCCGGTTCCCCGGAGATGGCTCTGTTCCCTTGGCCGCTGAGCCCATTTCTCCTGCGATCTGGCGCTTCCCTCCCAAGCAAAGTCACTTCCTGTCCCTCCAGTGCTGCTGCGGAGTCTCGGCAGGTCGGAAGGGGAGTCTCACGGCTAGAAATGAGGAGAGGGTGCTGGTGAATGAAGGGGCATTGACGGGCTCTGAGCCCGGGGGCCCAAACGGCACCTGGACTGTCCCCCCAGCGCTGTAGGGGCACGAAACGAACGAGACATGTTGGAATCAGACCTGCACAGGCTGGTGGCTGATAGTCCCTGCTGGAGACCACAGAGGCAGGGAAAACCTTGTTTCATGCATAATTAATCCGCCTCCCATTATTAAATATTAAGCCTTATCGCTTTAATGGTTCCTGCTCCAGACCCAGGTTATATCACGAATTGTCAGCCTCTTGGTACTAACGTGCCGTTTTGCCAGGCTGCGTCTCTGCGTTGTGATGAGCCCAGCTGTGGCTAGCTGGAATTCCAAAGGCCTGACCCTGCAGTGGCAGCTCGGTTGGGCGGTGCCGTGTTCTCTGTCCACCAGGAAGAATGTGATTCCATGTCCGCTCCTTAACCTCACGCCTGCCTCCCCCGGAGGCGTGGGCAGTCGTAGGGTTTGCAGCCAGATGACAGAGGGTCAGGGTGTGATGTGTAATCATTTCACAGGCTCGGAGCAGCACTTCCCTTTGTACCCCAGCTGCAGTAAAGTGCGCTGGCTGGGGTTAAAAACGTACTCTTCAACTGCTCGGTTATCGTCCGCTCCCCAGCCAGGCAGCGCGCCCATGCGGCTCCGCTTAGTGCAGGAGGGAGCTCCAGCTTGTCCTTGCTTTTCTGCAGCAAACTCTGCTCTTTCCTTTGCATCCTCATCTCTCTGCCTTTCCCTCTCTGAACCTCTGCGATGATTGTCTGAAGGCTAATGGGATTTCTGTTCTTGCCCCGTTTTTTTTCTTTGCAGGTTCCAGTGTCCCCAGTTGCCCGAATATCTCAAGTTAGTTTTCACTCCTCCTGTATTTATCTTGACACTTCGCTTTTCTTTCTCTTCTCCTTTCTCTCTTGTCTCTGTAATTTTTGTTACGATGTCATTGAAGGTCACCCTCACTCTCAGCAGATTAGAGTGTCAGTAATTTCACTTTCTAACATGATTAATGGGCCAAGACGTCCCACACAGGCCAGGTTCTGGTGCTATTTGCATCACACTCCAGCAGTTCAGCACAGCACAAAAGCAGTCTGGGGGCTACAAGGCTTTTGGCCTTGAGGATCTCACTAAAATAATCCCAGCTGATTAGCAAACGACTGTTTCTCTTCAGAGCTGCATTCCAGTCCCTGCTCATGCAGCCCAATCTGCTGTGTCGCTTGGCAGATCGCTGGGCACAGCTGGGCATGGGGCGCTTTGCAGCTGTGAAGTTCCATCTCAGGTGTGGGCAGGACAACAGACATTTCCTTAGAGGCGGCCAATTAACCCCCCTAAAAGGACAAATTGAAGGGTTTTCCGTGGCCCAGGGGTTGAACACACTCTCCTTTCGCCTTGGATGGACCAGCTTCCAGTGTGGCTCTGGCCACCGGTGAAATACAGCAGAGGGGCCAGGGTGTCTGCGTGCTGAGGGACACTTGTCAGGCTTGTCTACACGTGGAGTTATTCCGGAATAGTTGGTCCACTTTGAATCCACACCCTGCATTAATCCAGAATAACTTCGGTGCGTACACAGCCCTCAGCCTTCAAACCACAACACAGCTGGCCCAGAACGCAGGGCCTGGCCGAGAACCAAGCCCAGAGCAGTGTGGGAGCGGAGGTGCATGAGTAGCTAGGAGTCTCTGTCTCTCGTGAGCCTCAGACTGAGTCCACCCCCAAATAACTGTAAAGGTCTGTCCTCGCTGCTGGCGGTGCTGGGGAGCACGCGGGTACAGGAGAGAGACCTGGGAATGGCACCCCCTGGCCGGTGCTAAGGGCTTTGCAGCCTGCAGCCCTGTCGGGGTTAGTGGGGATCTCTGGCCTCCCCCACCAAGGGCCTGCACTTCTCTACTCTCCACTCTGCCTGCTACAGAGGCCTCCCTGGAGAAGCGTGTTGAAGTCAGAGAGCTGTGCAGAGCAGAGCCCTCCAGACCCCTCCCCCGGCGTATGTGGGTGCTGTTCTGGAGCCGCTGCGCTGGGGAAGGGGTTGCACCCCTCCCCCAGAGCTGCTCTTGGAGCTCACGTGCTCCCAGCCTGCTGCAGCATGGCCCTGACCAGCTCAACGGGAATCCAACATGGACTGAGCAGCTGCAGCTGTGGCGTGAGCTGTGGTCCCATGGCTCTGCCATGCTGAGGCAGGGACTGCCCTGGACTCTCACACTGCAGGTACCTGCCAGCCGGGGCCCCCTCCCTGCCAGGTCGCCGCTGCCTACATGCCCATTGGTTGCAAAGGCCGCTCCCTGGTGCCCTGGCTCTGTGTGTGAACAGCTGGGGGCTACGGAGCGCTGATCTGTGCCTTCTGCCAAGTGGGGCAGTGGCCTCAGTGTGGAGCCCGGCAGCGAGTCACTGGTGAGATGACCCTAATGCCAGGGCAGAGGGACCCTCTCTTGCCCCAGGTCGGTTGTTGGGCAGTGCTCTGTGCCATGGCAGGGGTGGTGCTCGCGGCACTTGGCAGAGGGAGGCAGCATGTGTGGGGTGGACTCAGAGCAGTGTGCAAGTCCCTTTATATGGTGGTGACAGGCCCTCGTGGCTGGGAGAACTGGTGGTTTTCCCAGTGGCTGCATTGAAATGTGCAGTGGCACTTGCACGTTGTCACCTGATGGCTTGTCACTGCTGTCTGAGATCTCCTCCTGGATCGCCACAGCAGCCCGTCACTGCCAGCCAGGGCACCCAGAGGCTGCCGAGCTCTGTCAGAAGGCTCCTGGCTGGGCTCCAGCCTACCTCCCTGCGTGCGTATCAGCAGCATTGCCCATTAATCATCGTTAACCACGTGGGGTTCTGGGAAACCCACAGAGCAGCCTGCGGTAGCACAAGCCCCGAGAACTTGGATGAGCTGTTTTACAGCCACGTTCCTGCCAGTTCATCAGTTCAGGACCAGGGCAAAGGGTCCTTCGGGGCCTGGGCTGTAAACCCCAAGTGCTATAATGAGGCTCTTGCCTCTGACCTCTGTCCTGTCCCCGTGTGATACAGCCCGTCCCTCCTGGGGCTCTGCTGCCGGACATGCGCTCCACTGCCCTGCGCTCATCACCAGGGACAGGCGCCAGCCAGCCAGACCTCGCAGCAGGGCCGGCCCCATCAACGCTCAAACATGGCCATGGGTACTTGAGAGATGCAGGCCGGCTCCCTACAGGGCACCCAGCTCCCACCCACCTGCCCGGCACAGTCAGGCCAGTGAGTGGGGGCCCTGAGGTCTCGAGTGCCAGCGAGTCCCCCTGAGCCCAGGCCTGCGGTACACACAGTTTGAGATGCGAGGGGGCAGGCCTGTGGCCGGGAATCGGGCTGGCCTGCTCGGTGGTAAATAGCAGCTGGTGCGCATACCCCTTCGGCTGCCGCCAAGACTAGCCATGGCAGGGGCTCAGTAGCCCCTCTGGGGACCCTGTAATCATTAGGGGTAAGTCATGAGACCACCCCTCCCCCGGGGAAAGCTAGCGCTCTTGAGAATCAGTGTGTTCAACCTCAGCCTGTGCGGGAGCCCCGGCAGAGCATCCCCCCCTCGGCCTGTGAACGGAGCGGGGCTTCCCCTCTGCACGGCCCCCAGGCCCTGTGCCCACAGCCTGCTCCGCCTGCGGTGCTGTCACGTCAGCATGCTCACCTGGCCATGACCATCCTGCCCATCCCGTCTGTTCTGTCACCGCTCAGCATGCCACGTGCCATCCATCCTGCCCAGCGCGTCCCATCCTCACTGTCCACACGCCGGCCGCGCGCACCTCTGGGCCTGGGCGCAGAGCAGTAACGTTCCCCTCCCCCTCTCTTCGGCCCACCAGGTATGCGAGACCACCCGCCGATCCCGGTGACGGATCTCGCTGACAACATCGACAGGCTGAAGGCCAACGATGGGCTGAGTTTCTCCCAGGAGTACGAGGTAAGCGGCAGAGAGGGAGACCGGTGTGCGTGGCGTTCCCGAGAGCCGGGCGCCGCAGGGAGGGGCTGGTCTGTGGGCAGCATCCCCCAGAGGAGGCGGCGTTGAGCTGTAATGATGGGGCCCTACCCTGGGGGGTGTCCTTGGGCAGCAGAGCGCTTGCTGGCCCCAGTGGTGCCAGGAGCGTAGTCCGACTCAGCCCGGTTACGGACACAGGCAGTGCGAGAGCCGAGGGGTTCCTGGGTCTCAGCACCACGCCCGTCGCTGGGCTTGTTTGTTCTGTTTGATCCAGGCCTAACACGGGCACTCGGTCTGCAAGCTGCGCCCGGCACCTCAGGCCAAACCCCCAGCACCCTCTGCTCCTCCAGCTCCCTCCATGCTCACAGCTTCCCTGGGCACCCCCCGCTGGGGTTACCCCTTTTCCAGGCTAGCCCCCCCCGCACTTCAGCTCCAGCTCCCCGACTGCTTCCCTCGTCACACGGCGTAGCTGTCCTGAAGCACCCAGGCCTGATCTGCAGCACCCTGGTGTCCCACATCTGTCCCATGACACTAAACATCCCGCTCTGCGGATACCCCTCGGTCCCGCCCTGCCTCTCCCTGGGCCCCCCCTACCCCTGCTCTGCTGATACCCCTCGGTCTCGACCTGCGACCTCCTCCCCACTGTTTAATTCCTGCTGGCCTTCCCGCACCACTGCCGCTGCCCCGAACCCGGCCCGTTATCACTCGCTGTTGGGCTCCCCTGGCACCCCTCAGTCCTGACCTGCAGCCCCTCCCTGTGTCCTGAGGACAGGCTGCCAAGCGGGGGGGGGGGGTGCGGGGGTGCAGGGGGGGGCAGGTAATGAGCACTAGAATTGCTGCATCTGTCCCTGGCATGCTCCAGCCCTTCTCCCGCTGGAGCCATTCACCAGGCTGGCTGATCAGTTGGGGGAGAAGTTCCCGTGCAGTACGTTAGAGCCGCAGGATGTTTTCCTCGGCTTGCACACATCCCTGGAGGAGCCACTTCAGCTGTGTGAGGGTAACTCGTCAATCCCCACCCCCGAAGTATTAAAGAGGGGCTAGATTGGGAACGAGTCCTGTGCATGTGTTATCGCTGCTGTTCGCACTGTCATCTGCCTCTGCCTGCGGCCTCCCGTTGCGGGAGCCGATCTCCGTTGATTTATGAGAGGGGATCAGGACACTTCCCCACACGGTAAGATTGTACCCGCTGGAATGGAAGCGAGCAAGGGGAGGGATGAATTGCAGCCAGCTGGAGAGGTGCTGTGTGATGGAGGACACTGAGGAGACCGGGCATATCGGCCGAGTAGCTGCCACTCCGTGCACAGCTCTCCTGAGCCAGGGAGATGCCTTGTCACCGTCAATGCCGCTAGCTTGCAGCGCAGTGAGTGTGTGCTGAAACGCCATACCCCCATTTTGTGTGTCTGTGTCCGTGAGCACGGCAGCCCTGGGCACGCTCCTACCTGCCTGCCTCATTCTTTTGTGAGTCCAATTGAAATTTAAAGCAGAACTCTCGGATCTGCTGTAACCTGATTCTATCTTTTCTGTATCCCATGAAAGGCCTGTGAGTGCTTGGATGCAGTGTCTAGTGCTCTGGGTATCTGCCTGTGGGATTCGTCTCTGCCATTCAGAGCCTGCCACACAATAGCGAGCTCTTGAACTGGTTCAGAAAATTAGCGTTAAGTAAATTCCCTTAACCATTTTCCTGTGCTGCTCTCTTCAGTCTCCCTTTTTAGAATATCATGGCTGGTTGAGAGCACCAATCAGTTGTACTTTCCATGCTGAAGCAGCTATTAAATAGCTGATTGTTGCGTGTAATTCCTTCCCATGGACTCTGCCGCCTTTGACTCCAGATTTGGGTGGAATGACTGAACGCAGCACGCTCATAAGGCACCGGCACTAGGGTGGGCTGGAATAGGTGTGCACCAGGTGCCCAGGGTCACTAGTGCAAATGGGGTTGGTCTCATCCCAGTACCTGCTTTGGCTGATTGTCACACACTCCCGGGTCGGGATCTAGGAGTGGAATTAGCCAGGGAGCCTGGCGCTCCGGTCCTGGGGCGCTCGGAAGGGAACCGTGCCCCGTGGATGTGGAAATAGCACAGGGAGAGCTGGGGGCAGTGTGCTGCAGCCTGGATGAGCCCGTGCATGAGGCAGCAACTGCTTCTCCCTGAGAGAACTGCACAGTCGTAAGCTCTGACCTCCAGTGCCTACTGCCCTGACTTCTGCAGGCTAGTGCCACTGGCCTGGCCTGGCGAGCAGTGCAGCGGGGTGAAGATTGCCCCGGAGGCCCTTCTACTTCTGTTTAGTTTTAGGAAGAGCCATAGTTTGTGTTTTCCCATAGAAAGCCAACAGCCTGGAGTCTGTGTGTGGAGCGCGGGGCTCCCTTGTAAAGGGAGCGAGGCAGCCCAGATGCAGAGCAGATCTTTAACAGCCCGTCAGCCCCACGCAGAACTGCCCGGAGTGAGCTGTGCTGGAGAGTGCAGTAACCTGGGCGCCTGGGCATGGAGCTCCAGGACAAACCCGGGAACCCATGGGCCGAGGGCAGCCCTGGGCGCGGGGGTGGAGCTCCCGGAGGCTGCAGCCAGGTCTGAGCCGGAAGGGGTCCCCCTGGAATGGAGCAGGCAGGGTTAGCGGGCAGCCGGAGCCCTGTGGCCGCCAGGCGTGAGGCGAGCCGAGCGTTCAGGGTCTGGCAGCAGCTCTCCCCGGTGTGTTCGGAGGTACAGTGAGAGTCCAGAGTGATTTACAGCCCGGGATTAATGGAATTAACGAAGGACAAGGGAGGCTCAGCCGGTTAATTATTTATCTCACTCTTGATGGATTTGTGCTGAGGCTGTGTTAGAGCTCCCCCTCTTGGACACCTGTCTGCACGGCAGCCACGACAGGGCAGGTCCAGCCCCGATGGGGATCATTGGCGTGTGGTTCCTGCCCCGGCGCTGGTGGCACACTCTGCTCAGACACCGGGGAGTTGGGCATTGCTGCCCCCCTCGCTGACGGGCACGAGGCCGGCCCAGACGGAGCAGATAGCCAGTCGGCCTTTCGTTCTCCCCATTTCTGGCCTGTGTCACACGAGATCTTAAGATGGGCAGGGGCCTGGCACCACGGCTGCACCATGGTGACAGGAGGGCGGGCAGAGGCCGCTTTCTCCGTTCTAGAGAACAGCCCTACTCCAGTCCCGCCCCTCTAGCCTGGGAGCCCGACGCTCGCCCCGTCCCGCCCCTCTAGC